AAGGACGTGCGCCCTCCTTGATTCATACCGGACGTAATTTTAAGCGTTTTCTTCGAACCGAGATACGTGCGCTTGAAGTTGAAGTACAACTGCACGATAATGCGGAGGTCGAAGAAGAGGAAATATACCAAGTCGAAAGGCAGTCAGGCCCCCCTAAGAGGACGGACGATACGGAAGAGTGTGATTCCAGCGGCCTGGTATTCAGAAAAAGTACAGGGATGAAGAAAAAACCATGAGAAACGGCTTCGGTACCCGAGAAATGGGACCCTTTCGTTGCCCGTTGACCTAGCGCCGCTCGCGCTGCAGACCGCTCCACCCTCTCGCCGTCTGACTCTAGCCGTTCAGCAGAGAGAGCGTAGCGTTGAAGAGGGCAGCACCGATGAGAGTCGCATCAATGCGGAAATCAACGGGCAAGAAGGGGTCCCATTTCTCGGGTTCTGGGCCGTTTCTCATGGTTTTTTCTTCATCCCTGCACCACTGACCACCTCTACCTTGATTTTAATGAGCTGCCTTTTCGTCCTATACTCCGCCTTTACGATCAAAGGACATATTTTCGAACGGCCGAATGTATGACCATTACAGAATGCTACCAGTTTCTCGTTGGCTAAAGTATGTGGCTTGTAAGGGGGGGGGGGCGTATTTTGATCAAGGGGTTTGCTATAGTTGACATCTTTCTATTTTGAACTAGAGGTCAGAACTGCCAAAGCACTCTTATCGTTAGCAACCCAATATAATGATCAATTATGGTGCCAGAGGGGCCAAAGTGGTGGTAGAAGTAGTTAGGGCTGGAAACAGAGCTGGTGATGCATCCAACGAACGTAGCCCAATTTCTCGTAACTCAACAACCCCGATAGATGCGGTACCAGGGTAGGCAAATTGTCAGGTGGTCAATCAAAACACAGTCGATAAGATAAGACGACACTTCGGTCATCGCCATGCCCTCCATCACACAAGTAGTCTTGATCGTCTCCTTTTTTGTAATTGCTGTAAGTTGGTCAATTGAAATTTTTTAGGTTGCTTTTGGGGAGTTTTACTGTACTGCAAGCGTTAGGTAACCCCTGAGGTATTTTTATTCGAAAAGTTTGCAAGTTACAATCGAATTTGAACATTTTTGAGCTTCCTAGCTTTACAAATGAGAACCGCGGGGCTTGATAGTTACTCAAAAATGAGGAAAATTTTATAAGTACATGAATAAGTTTGCTTTTACCATTCTGTTCCAGGAATCGCATAATTGTGGCGAAGGCTCCTTCTGCCCAGACTCAGCGACTTGCTGTCGGCTGCCGGTGCACAATTTTTGCCTTTTTCTCGATAATTTGTCATTTTTGATATTTCTCTGTTTAGAACGGTGAATGGGGTTGCTGCCCTTTTCCAAATGCAGTCTGCTGTGATGATCATATCCACTGCTGTCCTCATGATACAAAGTGCGATCCACAAGGATCTCAGTGCACTCGAACAAATGTAAGTGCAATAGGAAGTACTTTTTTGTTTTTTGTTCAAAGGCGATTTTCGGGTCTCATCCAGGTAAGGGCGGGGGGGGGGCATTGTGATGCAACGTCAAGTGGCTGCCCTCACCCCCCCCCACCCCCTAGACTGCCTTCACTCCCCCTGGCTCACGGGGTCCCGTACTTCGAGAAACCTGTGCGCCAGGGGGAGTGTAGGCAGTCTAGGGGGGTGGGGGGTGAGGGCAGCCACTTGATGCCCCCTTACTGGATGAGACCCCGATTTTCTGATGAAAAGGCAGTCCATTGGAAATTGCGTTAGAGATGGTCAGTGATGCACGAAAGAAGAAAAAACCGAGAAAATGGCCTAGAACCCAGAAATGGGACCCTTCCTTGCCCGTTGATTTGCGCATTGATGCGACTCTCATCGGTGCTGCCCTCTTCAACGCTAACGCTCTCTCTGCTAAACGGCTAGAGACTCAGACACGAGACGACGCGAGAGGGGGCGTGCTGCGCCAATTGCGACGCGGGGAAGGCCATGCTCGACTTGCGTGTCGGTCTACATCCGTAGGAGATCCGTCTCTCTCTTCAGTAGGTAACCTTCGACCTCCCTCCTTGGCGTGGAGTCCTCCTTAAACGAATATTTGTTTGTTCCTCCATATTGATTGTCCATATTGATTGTTCATAAGTGTAATGTCCATATTTATTACAGGGTGAAGTGTTTTCATCAGGAAGGAAGTCCAAAGCCCAAGAAATCACGGAAGAAGATGAAATCATTTGTCCTGATCGACGGAGCAAATGCCCAACAGGTACTGCGCCCTGGCATTGGATTTTGTCATGTGCCACTCACTGGTTAGGCATGACATTAATTACACGTCTCAGTGGACATGTGAAGGTGAAGCAGGACGAAAGTTATGGGCACTTAGCACAAGAATAGTCGCCATAAAACAGCTGATTGTAGAAAAACATGGTATGGGGGAAAAGAAATAATAAAAAGCTAAAATAACGGCTCTGTAAGATAGGGAACTCTGCAGAAGAATGGTTGGATTTAGCCGATATCCTGATCATTACTGGTTTAGGAAGCACGTGCTGTATGCTCGTGAGTGGAAGGTACGGATGCTGTCCAGTAGAAGAAGCGAACTGCTGTGCTGATCACCTTCACTGCTGTCCAAGTGGCTTCACTTGCGACACATCTGGGCAACGGTGTATCCAGAACAAGGTGAAATTCAACAGTCATCTTTTTTGCAGCCAGTTTCGCCTTTGTACAATGCTACT